AGTGACTGATTAGCAGATAAACAGTCAAGTGCTGTGAATTGTGACAGGTCCCAAGCGCAGCTGTGCACGACGGAGCCGTTGCAGAGGGGTTCAAGAGCCACATGCGGCTCCGGAGCCATGGGTTGCCGACCCCTGACCTAGACTATTGCTTCATCTAATCCACTATCCTCTCCTCTAAAAGGAAATGTCTCTCCAGACTCTCCAGCAGAAGTCCTTCACACGGCCCACTATGGTACTGTTTTAACTAGAGGTACCAGGGGCTGAACCTGGAGTTTTCCTGTGTGCAAAACTTATGCACCACCAGTGAATGGCAACGGGGATGGACCTATGGCAGCCTTCCTCAGGTTGGTGCCCTCTCCCCAGATGGGTTGGATCGCAGATCCCTTGCCTCAGCCAGCCGTCTGGAGGGCGCCATGCTGGGAATAGGCTGCTCTACATAACCGGGATGCGTGTCTTTATAACTGGGGCCAGTGGAAATTCCGTGGGAGGCTGGAGTGATCCTTTGGCTGCCTGTTTCCTGGAATGAAGCCTGCCGACTCTGGGTCCGCTGTGCCTGTAGTGGGAGGAGGAGGAGGCAACAGCGCACCCACAATCAGTTCCTCTGGGAAGGCGCCTTTTTGCTCTTGCTCAGGTCTCCCACCTGAGGCTGACTGCAGCCCAAAAAAGTATTGTAAGAGCTGTAATCTCCATGTCAGTCCCCAAAGGCCCAATTTTCCCCTCTTACACCGAGATTTCTCTCTCCTCACAAAGGAGTTTCAGTAATAGCAAACACCATCTATTTTTACAACTAAATTTAATGACGGTAATTAAGGTCAATCAGGGAGCAGCCGGGGTGGCTGGCAGGCTCCAGAACCATGACAGCAGCGATTAAACGTGGCTGTGATATTTGGGTAGCTGATAATTGGCCAGATGTTATCCAGTCTTTTGATCCTCACTTGTGCCTAAAGCCCAGGGGTCTTTGGCTTCACAAAAGTGGGAGTGTGCATATCGGAAGACACAGAAATCATTTTGTAATGGTCTGATTTGGGAAGACACAGAAATAATTGCTTAAAAGTCTGGGCAATCCTCTAGAGGGCTCAGACTATGGCTCCCATCATCCCCACTCAGTATGATTGGCTGAGATTGATGGGGATTGCAGTCCAAACACATTGTGGAGGCACCAGGTGAGAAAGGCTACTCTAGAGGTACTCCTAATTTAGGGCCAACAAGTTGTGTTGATAGATCTTGCAGTTCTGTAATGACTGTAAAATTCTGATTTTCTCTCTTCAGGAGGAGATACCTCTGATTCAGACCTCTCAGATCCGGAAAAGGATGTGTCCCAGAAGCATGCACTGGCGTCCCTCTCTTCTTTGGGCCAGAAAGGACACCACGGCACCAGCTCCCTGCCTCCTGAGGAGGTCTTCTTACCATCCTCAGTTTCTCAGAACTCCAGCTGTGAACCTGCTGCCACACTCAAGTGGCCTTCAAACGCAAGCTCAGATCTTTCAAAGGAGAAGGCCTTCTGCATTGTGCGGAGGGAGCCAATGGACTGTAGGAAGCACAAGTCCTATTTAAGGCTCAGCCCAAGTCTGCTGGTTGTTGGAGCATCCTACCAGCTAAGCTTGTCTGGCTTCTAGCACACCCCCACATGGAGTTCTCCGTGGTGCCAGCTGTTTTTTGCTCTCTTTACCTGTTCTCCAACTGTGGCTTTCTAAATCCTGGCATTTGTTCTCTGCCTTCTTCAGACGATCTTGGAATTTGTTTCTAACTATGCTTGCCTTTGGCAGTTGAATCCAAGCCCCTGCTTCCCACTCATTGCCCTAGAACCCAAGTGCCGTAGTATTTCCATCTGGACTAACCTCTGGACTCAACAGGACCTATGGTCTGAAATGGTACTATGATCCTACATAGCTGACCCACTCTTGATTTGAGCTGCCAAAAGACAATGTGCAGGCAAAGATTCATCTCTAAAAGAGCTGGAATGATGATTTCATTGGAACTAAACAACAAACCAGGATGCACCAACAAGAAGCAAAGCAGAGTCATAACCAAAGGCCAAATCAGGAAGTGCCAGAATCCTGTGGTTTGTGGAGCAGGAGGTGAGGAGATGCCATCAAATCAAAGGGACTGTCCAAGTGAGAGAAGGAATTGGAAATATTCATCCAGAATGGACTAATACTCCATTTCGGCCTCCATTTGGAGTTTATTTAATTAAAAAGCATGTTTTTGCATGTGCCCCCACCTTACAAGATCTTCCCTCTCTCCATTTTTTCCTCACAAGAACCTGTGGGTTCGGCTTGGCTGACAGTCAGTGACTAGCCCAACGTCTTCACGTAAGCTTCACGGCTAAGTGAGGACTAGTCCTCCGAGCGCCTGAGTCCCAGGTTGGAAGTCTGATCACTGCACCACACCAGGTTCCTACGAGGAAGCAACATTCTAGCCTTTTGTCTGACTCTTCCTTGTGAGTACCAAATGGATGGACATGCACATGGTAAGCACATCATGAGCAGGGCTGGCTGGAGCCAGGGGTCAGACTAGATGGCCTGGGAGGCCCCTTCTGACTCTCCCTGTTTCTAAGCTATCCAGAAAGCTAGGTGGCATTTGAGCTTTGCCTCTTCCATGCTTGGACCACCACCAGCCTGCCCCCAGCTCGGGTTAGAATGTTATTTGATGGTCACCATGTGAGACAAACTGGAGCTGATTCTGAGAAGCTCACCAGAAATCCAGACCGAAAGGCTACCAATACACTGGGACTTGGGAAACAAGCTTCACCTGTTTCTCAAGCAAGGCCAAAGGAAATGGGAAGCCCTCTTAGACTCCTTCCTGCACTAACAATCCTGGGTGGGTGAGGCTAGTCCAGGCCTCCTAAACTCCCTGTGCAGAGACTGTCACGTACAGTTCAGTAGCTCACCACTCAGGGTAGCCACACACAACCCTAAAAGCGCCTACCTTCAAGCCCAGCTGCTCCTAACAGACAGGCCACAAAGGTATCCCTGTGTCCGTGACCATCGTATCTGCCATTTTTAAGAAGAGCAAGTCTCTAGTCCTCACTCACTATAGAAAAATGAACACAGGATTCTTGGTGGCGCTCTCAATTGGCACCAAAAGGAAGGGACGCATATTCCCTAAACTGAAGCTAATGCAAGCTCATGTGGTCACTTTTGTTTCCCCCCTTTTCCCTCCATGAAGAAATGTTAGGGCTGAACTGTAAGTTATTGCCAGGGATGAGCTGAGAAACAATTGCTAAGGAATAAAGCAGGGAGTGGAAACTGAGCAATGCACCAGTGGCAGAAGGATCTTCTTGCTCAGGTTGATTCCCATCTCAAACAGAAATTTTTTTCTGCTCTGCCTGTCCAAGAGGACCAAATGACCAGCATGGGGAGGCTAGGCCAGTCCAGACCTGGGAGTAGCTCTTCCCTGCGACAGGATATAGTTCCAACAGTTCACCATGTGGCGCGTGCTCACAGAACCGAAGGGTGCGAGGTAGTTTCTAACAGGAACGTGTGTGGTGGCGGTGGCAGTTTTAACACAGACGAGCACAGCTTGGAATCTCTAGCCCGGGGATGCTCCAGATGTCCAGGTGTACAACTCCCATGATCCCTCACCGTTGACTAGGCCTGATGGGAGTTCCAGGCCAAAACAACAGGAGGAAGCAAGTTGTCCAGCCCTGCTCTAGCCCATGTATGAGGCCTCAACAGGGGTTTGATAAACGGTCTTTGCTTCTTGTTCACAGAATATAAACGTGTAGTGAGATACCAGGTACCCACCACACCAGCATACACAGTGGCTAGGCCACCGTTGGCTTGCTGAGTCAAAGGCAGTATGAACCTGTCTCCGCAGAAATATGAACTGAGCTCCAAATGTATGTTCTAAACGAAGTTAACAAACAACATTTCAAAATAAATGCATCTTGGTTCATTAGTTGCCTGTTGTACTCTGATGAGCGCAAGTCAGGTGACAGGAAGGAGACGCAGCCGGGGACTGGTTCGGTCCCTTAACATTTTGTAAAAGCCCACTTTTGCCTGTGTTGAAATCAGTGCCAAAAGAGACTACCATGTAAGGCTGCATTTGCGGTAATGTTGTTGTATTTGCGTCTTTCCTCTATTTGTTTTTCCTGAAACCAGAGCAATGATTAATTTTGACCTAGATTTTAAAGCAAGCCCATTGACACATGTATAAATAACCTGAAACCTGCTTTGGAGTCAAATCCATTTGATACATAGGATCCAATCCAGACAAAATAAAACCCTCCTGAGTTTTATTTATTTTAGTGGGACGTTCAAACATGCACTTAAATGTCTTCCATTAAAATAACAATGGGATTTATTTTAAAGGTATTTAACTTTGGCTGGATAGTGCCAGATAGATAGATAGATAGATAGATAGATAGATAGATAGTGTGTGTGTGTGTGTGTGTGTGTGTGTGTGTGTGTGTGTGTGTGTGCATGCCTGTGTTTAGAGTAGATGTTTTCAGGTATAGACCAAAAAATGTTCATTAAATGCACATTTATATATATATTTAGGAATGATCAACAGTCTGGTCAGTGCACAGGATGATTGTGCTATCCCTCCCTTGTGGTTCTCCCCACCCAATTAAGGTGGCAGTATTTTAGGCTTGTCCAAGGGGTAGTGGCAAAGAGAAAAGGTCAAAACATCTACCAGTTTGATGGCAGAGTTAAGTTGATGCTCTGAAATTTGCACGGGACACATCAGAATCTTACTGGGCATGTGCAAAATCTGCAGGCTCTTATTTTTAAATGGAAATCTGCTACTGCTGCTGCTGCTGCTACTGCTGCCTATTGCTGAGCTTAGAGCCTGAAAGAGGGACACTGATGCTTTATGGAGAGAAATCCCCATTGGATTGTGCAGAGTTCCAGGAAAGAGAGAGAGGGAGAAATTGGACAAGTCTTTTCAAGAAGTTTAAAATGGGAGAGACTGTGTTGATCATTTAAAGTGTTCCTTGTGCAGAGGATTCTAATTTTGCTGGCATTTCTTGGGAAAATTGTCTTGCTTTTATCCATATGAGTGCAGAAATCTTCCAAAGAGGCATCTTATGCCCATCCTCGGTCTCCAACTGCAGTAGAATCGTGGATGTCCTAAATGACACGGAAGCCAATGCCTACAAGCTGATGGACCTGGCTCCTTTTGCCCTAAGAACAGTAAGTGTGGCAAGGAAATTGTTTGTCTGTGATGTCAGCATCTAACACATGGTTTAACTGGCAATATTGCCAAATTGAATGGAATTGTACAGGAACCATTCAGTCAGAGGAAAGTTTGTGTGGAGCATTTACCTGTGAACAGCTAGCCATTCTCCAACAGGTATCTCCCAGAGAAACTTTTTTTTTGGGGGGGATGTAATTTGTTGAAAGGTAATTGATAAACAAGAAATAACTCTCTTTAGTCAGAAGGTGTATGCAACTTGTCTGTGTTTAAGCTGGCAATTTCATAGCAACTCCCACAGGGGCAAAGAAGACAATTGCCATTTTGCAGTTCTTGCAGACCAAAAAAACACTAAAGTTTAGAATATGGTCAGTGACACATAGACAGAACAGCATAACAGACAGAAAAATGCAAACCATCAGAGGTTTTTTATCACATTCACTTAAAAGAAAATATTTATGTCCTTTGGACAAAGCAACAAAGTTAGTATTGTGCAGCAAAATGTCTTGTGATATCTTGACTATTTGCTTGATTGAAAGTGAGTTTCCATAGGCAGTAGCAGACTTTGAAAAGTTTGTTTTGGCATGAGATTTTAAAGAAAAAAGCCTATATTGAAAGAAATTGTAATAAGGTAGTTTTTATGTTTAACCTGTGTCATTTTTATTCTTACCGTTATCATGCGGTCATTCTTCTAGAATTTCAGAAATGAAATTACCTTGCAGATCTGTGAAGTAGAATGCCACACCATACTTCATACTTAAAAAATCACATTTGTTCAGTTTTAATAGCTCCAAAACTGAAACGAGCATTATATAACTTATGTTAAATGGAGGTGAGAAAGGAAGACCACTTTCTGCGGCATAGAGAGAGGGTTGGCTTGGAGGAGAGTTTCGTGCATTAAATAAATAAATGCATTTACAGTTCTTTGCAGAGTTAAACCACTGACCTCACTATGGTTACACAAGACTTGTTGTATTGCACTTCATAAACAGAGGATGTACACTTTTCCCTCTACAGTTTCCATTTCATGTTTGAAGACAGCCATGGATTTGTTCAGATTTAAATTCTGTGACTGGCCATTTTTTGGAATGGCCATCTATGACTGGATTTTTGGAACAAACATCAATGAAATCAGTTCCCCAGTTACCAGGGGAATGGATGGTGTTTGTATACTTGTTCCATGCACAGGTCCATCAGAGGCCAGAATGCAGAAAATTTCTTGTCAGCTTCTGCACTCTAATTGTGACCTGCAACCCCTTTTCTCTCCTGAAATGCTATTGTGCAAAATGACCTTCCACATGAGTACCTAAAATGCACAGGAGACTCATAAACTGCAATCCTATTCACATGTATTTAGGAGTGAACCCAGGGAAAGCACATTGCATTGACATAATTTGGACATGAGTAAACAACCTAGTCACCTCCAGGTATTTGGACTACAACTTCCATAACTCCTAGCCATTGGCCATGTTGATGAGGGCATATGGGAGTTGTAGTCCCAAATATTAGAGCCCCTATCCTTGAACCTGTGAAACATATCTAGATCTATTCAATTGGGGCGGGGGGAAATTTGACTTAAGTGCAGAATCATGTAGGCTCAAGCTGCACAAATCCAGGCCATAGGAAGCTCAGCCCGATGCCTTTACAGATGTACCCTGGGATCCGTAATGATGTTGGGCAGTGTCACAACTTGTGCTTGGTGACTGCTTACCTTCCATGCACCCACATTTTTCCTTTGGGACCCAAATCCAGGTAGGCAGGATGGACTTGCAGGGACCCACAAAGAATCCCCACATGGTCTTAGTCCTATACCATGTTATTTCATATCTGAGCCATGCAGTATTGCTAAAAGCTTCCTCCTGAGTAATGGACACTTGCTTGTTAATTTTTGTGCAATGCCACAAATTATGCTTCCTTGCAGGCAACAAACAAGATGTAACTTTAAATGTAACTTTTACAATGTTTTATTGTTTAAAGTGATATTGTATTTTATGGTATTTATTATTCTTGTCAGACAGCTTCAGCTATTGGGCAGTGCAGAAAATAAACAGTGAATAGATATTTATTTATCTATTATCATTATATATTGGCAGCTTCCTGCAAACCCCCCCCCCCACCACCACCACCACGATGGTCAAAATGCTGTTAGCAACACTGGAATTCCACAAAAAACAGTGGAGTGCTGGCAAAATTCTAGTTCCATGCCTGACCCAACTTTGCCAGCAGTTGCTGCCATGGCTTTCATGGGACAGGAAACGCCTAGTAACTTTGGAAGTCCTGCTCAGAATTCCACCAAGCCCATGCAAGGCACACGTCCTCAGCAAACCCGAATAAAGAAGGTCACCAGCTTTCACCCAAATATGAAAGAGAGATAACATATGTCAGTCCATAGTTCTGAGTAAAAATTACAGATGTATCACGATTCTGCATTTTTAACTTGAAGATGTGTGCTTAATTGCTTTGACAATCGTATTAATGGAGAGCTCCTCAGATAGACTATGGATGCCAGATTTCCCAGTAGTAGCTCAACTGGTGACATTTTAATAAGCAGGAGAATGTTGAGGCTTCCGATGGCAGAATCAGTGCGTGTGAGAGAGTTCCCTTAACTGAGGGGGCATTCCAATGCTTCTTCCATACAGAGAGATCTTTCTATATATGGGTTTGTGCAATATACTAAAGTAACAATATGTCGAGACAACGAAATTCAAGAGTTACGGTCACTGTAGTACTGGACCTCAAGGAGTTATTCCAAGAGCAGCAGAGATATACATGCCATTTCACAATAATGGAAGCCAGAAAGGAAAAAAACAAAACAAAAAACAGGTTTGTGCCAGAAGGAGATTATGATTTAAATAGCAAGAGAGTGGGGAGCAACAGAAAGAGAGGAAGGGAGAAAAGAACGAAACAAAAGGAGAATAATACACAGGAACATGTCCTTTGGCTTTTGTTCAGTAGAAAACTAACCTTTAAAAATATACAGAAATTGCCTTATTTTTAACTAACTGCAGTTTAGGGGCAGGCAAACTAGATGGATACAATCATGAAAATGGATAGCAGACTGCAATTATCAGAAGAGGGGGTTAGACACTGGGAGATTTAGGATAAGCAGAAAGTGGTCCAGTGAGGACGTCACTTACAATGAGGACGTTGGATAAAAGGTCAAAGCTTTGAGAGTGCATCTGCCGCTGCAGGCAGTTTTTCTAATGTTAACTCTCTTGCATATCACATAGGTAGGTTTACATTTCCTGCCAATGCCTTTTTATTCTGCATGGAAGGCAGCCAACCACATATGGTTAATGCAGAGTTGAGACTGAATGCAGCGCCATCGCAGTTGCCTGGCTGGGCACCCTTTGTGAGGTAGGAATCCTCCTCCAGCAAAGCAGAAACGGGCTTATGACTGGCGTCACCCACTGAAACCATAAGAGCAATAGCTGCTGAGATTAGGTTTTCATTGCTGTTGCTCCGCACAGGAGGATTGTAAAGCAATGTGACCTAGATTAGGAAATTGTGAAGAGGGATTGCGTAGCGGCTAGGAGTTTTACAGTGCAATCCAGTGCATATCCACTCGGAAGACGTAATCCCCAGGTAACAGCCGTAATCTCTCCTCTGTGCTCAGCTAGCTAAGTGGCTTTAGGCAACACTGTTTTTCTCCCTGTCTCAGTACTACTGCTGTTACTACTCTGCACTAGTCAGACCTCACCTGGAATACTGTGTTCAGTTCTGGGCACTGGGCTTTAAAAAGATGCAGAAAAACTAGAAAGGGATCAGAGGAGGGCAACAAAGATGGTCCAGGGTCTGGAAACTAAGCCCTATGATGTGAGGCTGAAAGAGCTGGGTAGGTTCAGTCTCAAGAAGAGAAGGCTATGAAGGGATACGATAGCACTCTGCAAGTACCTCAAAGGCTGTCACAAAGAGGAAAGAAAAGACCTCTTCTCACTCACCTCTGAGTGTAGGACATGGGACAATGAATCTGAACTGTAGCACTCCAGATTCAGGCTAGACACCAAGAAAATTTCCTAATTGTCAGAGCAATACGACAGGGAAACCAGTTGCCTAGAGAGGTTGTGGGTTCTCCATCACAAGAAACATTCAAGGTGAAACTGGACAGCCATCTGAGTGGGATGGTGTGACTTGGCATCCTGCACCAGCAGCGGGTTGGACCCAATGGCTTCCTTGGCCCCTTCTGTCCCTACTATTCTGCAAATCTGTGACTCTGTCTGGGTTCCGACCACACAATAATCCACACTTAAGGGTTGGATGTGGGTTGTCACTGCAGTACGAGTTTGCCACACATACAAATGGGAGAGAGGCTACCCTGTGCAACCCCAGAAGCCTCTTCTCTGAAGTTCCCTACATGGAGTGGCCCTAAATCTCCCAAGTGAGTGCTAGTGCAGTATGTCCCCAGGTCCTTAGTTTGACACTCGAAGCTACCCTTTCCCAACTTGGATCCCTGCAAAAACTTTGGACTGAAATTCTCAGCATTTATCATGCTGGATGCTGATAGAGTTGAGATCCAAAACATGTGGAAGGCATCAGGTTGGGGAAGACAGCCCTCAAACTGCTCAGTTGGTATTGTTTTGGCAGAGGGCAAGGAGGCAGCCGAGTCAGAAGAGTGGAGCACGCGGGCAGAGAAGGCTGTAAGGACAAATCTGAGCAGCAGAGAGCTGGGTGTGGACCATTGTGCCATTGCTCAGGGTGGGCACATCCGTTGCTATTACAGTAAACAGGTTTTGAGACATGAATGGGCTCGAAGCCAAAGAGCCGATTCCCATATGGCCATGCATCTCCTCTCTGATGGGTGGCAGCTGAATGAATGCACAGGGACTCCAGTCAAAACATATTGACAGTAGAATTCAATAAATGTCTTTGTATGTCGGAATTAACCCCTGCAGATCAGTCACCCCCACACACCCACCCACGCACACAACATCTATCCATCACATGATTTACATGTGGTTAGTGAGCCCAGTAATAACCCGATGGGTGGAAGATTAATGAA